GCCTTATGATTTATGCAGAGTTCTCTTTTTACAAAACAGTAAATATGCTTCTTCTTTCAATTATCAATTTTCATTTTATTTTGAATATTATATCATGTAGAACCATTGAAATACACATACAAATACAAAATTGAAACACAAAATCTTAAGTAAAAAGTTTACTCTGTATAAATTTTGCTAACAAAGAAAAATAAAAAAATTATAAAAAGTGAATTAATATGACACACATAATTATGCAAACGGCAATATGAATAAGACAGACACAAAATAAGAATAGTTGATACATTATTAATATATTTATTTAATGTATCAAATTCCTGATAACCGAGATTTCTGTGATAAAAAAATCTGTAACATATCAACTATTCTCGTTCATACAGCTAACCGAAATAAAACATTAAGATACCTTTAATTGTACAATTTGCAATATTTTCATAGTCGTCTGTAGCTATAAAACTAAAGTAAATACTAAAGAATTTAACATCACAAAATAAAGAACATTACGTTGAACGCAAAAAATACATGTAGAAAAAAATAAAAATAAAATTTCATAAAAAAATCAAGTACTAAAATTTTACTTTTATCTCTTTTTTTTACGAAATTATTTCTACATTTAATAACTATACGTTTACTGGGATCTTGCATACCTTACTAAGTAGCTGGGAGTCTAGTTCTTTTAACTGATCATCGAGACTTTTATTCGTTTGTTCAAAACTGCCCTGCTTCCTATACTTGTAACTGTCCGTAACACCGTACGAACCAGTACTTCCATAACCACTACCACCACCCAATACACTGCTTACTATTAAACATAAAAATTAATAATGAAAAAAAAAAAAAACAGTTTTTTGCTAGTTTTAGAAAAAAACTATCGGTAAGAAATCTTACCGAGTTCTGGCGTGCTTGTCAGTGCAGTATGATGATCCGCTGATGTACTTGAATGAGACGAATGTGCAGCAGGATAACTGCCAACACCACTGCTGCTACTACTATCCTTGTCATATGTATGTTTCTGAAGAACTCTAATCATAGCATCCCTCTCAGCTAATTTCGATTCTAAATCCTTCATTCTAGGAAAAGCAGTTTATATCACTATAAATCCATTTCAATCATAAAGAATATAAAAGATCACGTGTGAAAAGATAATATTACCTAGATTCAAAATCAGCCAATTTTTTCTGTGCAGCGTGTACTTCATCCATGTGTCTCATTTTCTCAGACCGTGCCTCTGCAATTAATTTCTCAGCATCTTGACTTGTTTTTTCTAATGCAGCTATCTTTGCGTCTCTGATTGGTCAGATAAATAAATTACAATCAATGTGCGTATGACAAAAAAAGAAAAATTATTAAACGAGCGAACTTACTTTGGTAGACTGGCTGCATCAATTGCCGCTTGCCTTAGTGCGCTTTCTTCGAGATAACGTTGCTCCCATTTCGCAACGTCACCCTCCAGCGACATAATTTTTTCGTCTCTTTCGCGTATTCGTCGTTTTAACTCTGCGATCGTTTCTCCATTGGAAGATTGTTCATTACCATTAGCACCACCACCGCCGCCGCCACCGCCTTCTCTTAATTCCCGTTCTAATTGACCTCTCAGCTGTCTTTCTGTTTCTTCTCTTCTGTCACTGGATGCTTGAAGAGAAGACAAAGCTCGTTGAAGTTGGCCTACTCTTTCTACATATACTTGTTTCTTCCGACACTGTAAGAAACAAATGTAACAATTTACAAACAAATAATTTGCTGGGACATAAAAAAAATATTACCTCTTCCTCAAGGCGTACGACATTGCCTTGTGCATTAGTGAGAGCAGTATCTAAAATATCTATGTGTGTACGTTGCTCCTGTAACGTTGCTCGTTGTGCTGCCAATTCGATTTCCTGTCTTTCTTTCGCCGCGGCTAATTCTTTGTCTAATATAAAAATCAATACACGGATTAAAAGCAATATTTTTATCGATGGAAACTAAGGAATATGAAAATGTACATACTTTGAGTAATCAATTGACCAATTAATAATTCTCGTTGCGTTAATTCCTTCCTCATAGATTCCACGATCGGAGGACTATCAGTACGTGCCGATAATAAATCTATTTGATCTCGTAAGGCACGATTTAATTCGGTTAATCGTCTGCAATCATTTTGTAACCTCAATCTAGCAGCTCGTTCCAGTTTCTCTCTTCGTTCACTCGATGCAGCCAATTCTTCATGAGCCCGATGTACCTTCGCGATTTCTTGTTCCAATTTTTGAGATTTAGCAACTTTACTATAACACCGTTCTAATTCTAATTTTAAAGCACTGTTTTCTTGAATTACAATTTGTATCATCTCCGATGGTGGCCAAATTTCACCCGTTGCAGATTCCGTCTCCTCCCTCCCTTTCGTTTGAGGTCTATGAAAATATTAAGCATAGAACAAATTACTTATAACAAACGATCATTCAAAATGAACTAACTTCAATAGAATTAGTTTAATTAAATCACCGTGGGGAAGTGGTTCGCAAATTGTAATTATCCATATCTGGTTTGCCAATTCTAGATAAATCAGGTTGCGATCTTGATAATGTCAATTTTTCCATTGGGCCAAGGAGTCGAGATTTATTTTTCAGTGGCAACAAGACGGACATATATGAAGGTGGTGGTCTATCTTCTGATTCACTATCGTTCTGTTTACCTCTTTCACCATCTCTCATTCTCATATCAATATTTCCTCCGTTATTTGTTAGCTTGCTATAAGATGGTACTTTAACTTCTTTTGCAAGATGTTTTAATACCTGCTTGTTTTAAACGAAATAGCGGACATAAGCAATTAATTTTGTTTAATAAAACGTATTACAGTATAATCTTTTAAAAATATAGATTTATTTCGTTTGTTATATATTTCATTATTTCATAATAATATTAAATATTAAAATAATCACCTGTGATTGACTAAGATAATCGTCTGGTATGTCTGTAATTTCTTGACATCCTCCATTATTAGGTTGCTCGTAGACATGATCTTCATGAGATAAATTTGATAAAGACTGCATAGTAGGACTATTTGAATGTCCTTTTCCACCACCATCACAATATAAGTAACTCATATCTCCATGTTCTCTTACAACACCTGACAACCTAAAATTAAATATTAATGATTAATACATATTTATAAAAAATTATAAAAATATTAATTGTCCTGTAACTTTTTCTTCAAAATGTGTATTACCTTCCAGATGGTAACCATGAATTATCATCATTAGCATTGTGTATAATAAGTGTATTGTAAGAACTTGTAGACACATCTAAGCTACTTCTATTTGAACCTACACTGGTACGGTTGCTTAAATTATCCTTCAAACTATTTCTATTAGAACCATTAATGCTATCTTTAAGGCTATTTCGATTAGAACCATTCAAATTCTCCTTTAAACTGTTCCTGTTTGAACCATTTAAACTGTCCTTCAAACTGTTTCTGTTGAGCAGGTTACCCTAGATTGCAATAAAGTAGTTTACACTTATGTAATTTAGTAATAATGATCGCAATTTAAGATATGTAAGAATATAGTTGACTAACAGAAATATTAAAAAATGTTCCAAAGACAATAACTGAGAATAAAAATATGTAATATATTAAAGTACTAATATTCTTCAAAAAACTAAGACGATAATAAAATAATAAAATAATGAACTAAAAGAATACAATAAGCAACATAAATATATGATTAATATTACTATTGATAAAACTATTAAAAACATGTATCGTTTAATAAAAAATTATTAATAATTCATTCATACTTGTATATTTGGTATATTTTCTTTATGACTGGAAGATCTTGATGGGCTTTGCTGCTGATTTTCTTGACCTTGAGGTTCTTGGCGAGCTGTATGTCTTATAACATAGCGATCTTCATTGGTTAAATTCTCGTTTGATGTTGAAACATCAGTTTCACTGCCACTCAAACTTTGTGGAAGACCTCCTATTAAATATATATCATATATTTTAAGAAATAATAAACTCATAACTTTCTTAACAAATTAAAATTTTATTCAATTGAAAAATCTTCAGAGACAACAAAAAATAACAAAATAACAAACACACATATCATAAAATTTTTTCTGTACCTTGCATTGATAATTGTTTCCTTTGTATATTGTTATTTGAAAAAGGTAAGAATCTGCTACCTTGTTGCAGGGAACTCATTTTTCTATTATTTCATTTACACCTGTTGTATTTAATCTGCAAATATAAAAATAGAATTAATCTTTCACAATTGTTCAGAAATCATTAAAGAACAATTTTTACATTATTTATTATATTATTAATGTGAATAAATGGATTTCTCAAAGTTCAGTTTACTTCAACATTTTTCTCGCACATTTAAAATCAATAAAAGATCTATTTTTACAAGCTCTCAAGAAACACAAATTTATAAGATGTTTTATTTATAACATTTTTTGATAAAAGGTTTTTTTCGTGATATATTTCAAAGAACATTTGGAAATACTTCATGTCGAAACTCGTCGAAAAGGCGAATGAGAAAAATACGAACAATGTTCGCAAATTAATCATTCTCACATATCTAAATGTGAAAAACCAGTGAGAACGTAGAATCTATTCGTGCATTCTTCTATTTGACACTACGCATGTATTCATGCATCCGAAAACGAAGAATCGAAATATAATTATCAGGAGTCAATGTTTAATAAAGAGATGCTGATATAGTAAAGCAGAGCACTCTGACAGAGGTGTCAACACTCTGGAATGTTGATAATCCGGAGATATTGAATTTTTCATTGATGCGTAACATCGCAGCGGGAAAGTACCCGAAGTCTCGCGAATCCAACTCATCGGTACATGCATGCTCGCAAAACGATCCTATTGCATATATGGTCTTATAATATTTTTATAAGTTGCTGAACTTGAAGGGCTGTATAAATAAACAAAAGAATGTACTCGAACTAGGGTCCAGCGATGATATTTAACATGCCGCGTTACGGAAATAGAAGCAGATGACTCTGCCGAATCGATGTCCGATTACTCACATTATGCGAAAGTGCAAAAACGGGATGAGAGTGTTGCAATTATTTCAATAAATTAATACACTTTACTGCTCCACGCACGAGAAATAAAAATTGTTAGTTCCCGCATTCCTCATCAGGGTGCGACATATGTGTGTAAAAGCGGGATACGCTCTTCCTGACTTCCAAACTTTCCCAACATTTTTCTTTATCCCTAGAAGATGAATCACCGAAAAGAAATACACACAAAATGTTATTTTCCTAGCTTTTCTTTACGTTATTCTATGATAAATATAACATGTTTCTTACAAATTTTCTTACAAATTGAACGAAATTTTGTATTTTATTCCTAAGTAAGATATTTAAGTCAAATTCATTGGATTTTGATAATATACTCATACAAGCTTTGTTTTACTTTCGAATAATTCTTATTTCAAATCAGACATACATAGAAATATGTATGATTTAAAAATTAATTAAATTCAATTGACAATTTATTGTTTTAATTGGTTTAATGCGCGTAGTTAAGCCGCATTCATTGGTATACGATATGCATTCATATGTATTTTTAAGTTTTTTGAAAAATATCATTATATTACGATGACTAATCATTTGAAATATTTTATAAGAATATTATAATCATTCAAAAATAGTAATCTTTTTTAAAATGCAATTTAGCCTATGCTTTGCATATACTATATATATACTATTTAGTACTATGTTTGTATAACATAACTTGTATTATGTAATTTATATTGTATGACTGTAGATGAAAAAATAATTATGGATTTTAATAAATTACGACATTGTTGTAAGCTTATTTCTTTCAAATCATTATATCAAAGTTCATATATTATATCAAAATCACTTATTTATGATAAATTGTTGAAAATCACTCCAAATAGGATATTTTTTCATGGTAATCTAAAAAAAGATTCTGTGAAATTACTTATTGACAATTTGTAGGAGATATAAAGCACAATTTAAGTTTCTTTTTCCTGAGATTACGTTATTTTCTAAGCAAATATATAATTGAAAATAAAATGTTTTATTATAAATATAGAATTTTATCCCATACGTACATCATATATCAAACATATTGTTTTTTAGCAGAACCAACTTTACAATTTTCAACTTCATCATTTCTTTATACTGATATTAAAAATCTGAAGTCTGAAGATAATAAAAAGTCACTCACTGTTGATTATAATGATGTTCTTAAAGCTCAAAATGATAGTAGTATTTTAATTATTGATGTCAGAGAAAAGGAAGAAATTGATGAAACTGGGAAGCTACCTGGAAGTATTCACGTACCAAGTATGTTCTAATATTATTGAAACCGTTCTTTAAAACATTAGATAGTTATTATTGAATTCGATTATCACAGTGGGAGATGTTACAAATACATTGTTGAATCTTTCCAAGAAGGATTTTAAAGAAAAATTTAATAAGGAAAAACCTTCCAAAAATACAAAAATCATATTGAGCTGTAGATCTGGAAAAAGAAGTGGCATGGTTCAAGAAGAAATCAAAAAACTTGGATATAAAAAGTATATTAATTATTTACATATAATTTATAATAAAGCTAATAAAACATACTTGTTTATATTTTAGTGCATATAACTATGTTGGAGGATGGCTAGATTGGGAAAGCAATCAGAAAGTATAAACTAACATATACATTATTATAATTTTTTATATGTATAAATATGTTCATTAATAAATTGTTACCAATCATCAAAATTTTTTAATTCGAGCCTCAATAACATATTTACATGTATTTTAATGTATGTATACATGTATATACACATACAGAAAATATTTTATAATGCATTCAAAGTTCTTATATACAATGTTCTGTTACATCAAACAAAGTGGAAATTATCTTTCAATATGAAATAATTATATTACTTTTTCTTCTGTTCCTGTGCTAACTTTTGATTAACCATCTCTCTGAATTGTCCCAAAATAAGATTTTCTCTCTTTTGTCGTTCTTCTTTACTAAACATAGCCAATGCTCGTTTTTCATCAGCAGAATAAATCTGGTTTTCCTTACGAATACGAACAGCTTCCATTCGTCGGTGTCTGAGGAAAAAATTTACATTTATTTTTAAATAAATTTGTATTTCATTATACTTTACTATAGTTATATTTCACAGAATATGTTACCTGCTGCCACTCATAACATAACCAACAGATTCATATGAAGCAATCTCTTCTGAAGTTAATCCAATTTCACCTCTTCTCGGTATACGTTTTCCTTCTGCAACATATGCAGCCATAGCAGCACCTTCACCAGGTAAAAGAGCCTTGCCAAAATCTTTAGCAGATAATGTCACATGTGGTTTTTGAACTGGTCCTACTACTTCATCTCCACTTTCATCTGAACTTGATCCTTTCTTAACCTTCGCTCTGTCATTAACTCCATTCTTTTCTACCCATTCTAGTTCTTCAGGTTCACTATCAGAGCTACTTTCTGATTTTTTCTTTTTCTTTTTGCGTTTCTTCTTTTTTTCCTTCTTGGATTTCTTTTCTTTCTTTAGCTTCTTACTTTTCTAAAATAATGATGAAATATATTTGTAACAACACATAAGAAAAGACTGTCAGAAATCATGTTACAAAGAAAATAATTTTCATATATACAAAATTTAATAAAGGAGTGAAAAAATTGTGTTTATACTTTTTTCTTCATCTCTTGTTTCCTTTTTCTATCTTTTGGTATGATGCTACTTTGGTATCTGTTAATTTCCTCATCTTCGTCAGAACTATATTAAATACAGAATAATATTTAACACGATTATACAATTTATAAGAACAAATGAAATATGATTATAAAAAAGAGATATACTTCAAATTATCTGCATTAATATGAACAAAAAATATTAAATAATGATATGATAATTAAAGAGAAATGTTATAATTTCTTACTCTTCGATTCGCGTTGGTGATTTTCCCCAAATTCTGTCAACACCACATAACCCAATTTGCTCTCTGTCTCGTCTACGTGCGTCCATTGTCATATTTTTCTCACTTGTTTATGTGCCAACTAGGACCTGTGCCTATGACAGAATTTAAAAAAATTATAAAATCGCCCTCTGGTTTTAGTGACGAATACTAAACCAAAAATGGCGTTACTTATGAAATTCATTTACAAAGCAATATAGCTCTATCATTCCATGATTTCAACTGATTTTCAAAAACTTTTTTACAATACTATAGAGATAGAAAAATATGAAGGTAGAAAAGTGCAAAGTAGAGAAGTGAAAATAATGTTGAGATTTTATTGGTCTACTTTATGGAAACACTGTAGAGAAGGAATTCCAAGATGAATTCCGGTGATGTATCAAAATGTATTTTCAATAAATATCAATTAAAAAATACATTACATAAAATATCTACAAGATCGATATAAAATTATATGTCACTGGACAGTAGCACCATCCAAGACTTATAAATATACAAAGTAACAATTATCGTCGTAGCTTAATCGTATTGTTAGTAATATCTACCATAATTAATAAATATTATAATTATAATCCTCTTTTCCTTGAGTACTTCGATAGAAAAATATTCGCAACAATTCCAATTATTTAGCATTAAACATCATGCATTTTCAAATAATATAAAGAAATACATAGCTTAATAACATATCGCTAAAATGAAAGTTGTTGTAGCTGTGAAATGGATTCATTGAAATTCAAAGAAATGTTTTTGTAAATTGAGATTCGATATTTAATACTTGCATAGTAACAGAGATATGACAAGGCACTCTTAATAAATCCATTTTTTTTTTAGCTTTACTTTTTTTTTTTTATAAAAACTTTATCTGTGTCGAATATTATGTCTCTCAAAAGATACATATGATAATAATACTTGACATTATTTTTATCGCTCATAATATACGCTTGGATTACATTTATTACATCAGTCATAATTACTTCAATATGTTTTAATTCTATGTGTTTTAATTAAACCTTTGATAATAATTATTTCGCGTTAAAAAATATACAAATTTTTTTCTTTTTCAATAAAGATTAACTTTAAAAGAAAAATTAAATCTTGTTTCAACAATAATTTTCTGCAATCATATATCTTGTATATCAGTTCATTGTTTGTAAATTTCAAAATTGAGATAAGACTTAAAAACACAGAGCACAGAATTTTTAATTTCACAATTGTTTCTTATAATTACATTATCTTAATACTTTCTTGTATTGTCGAGAAATATTGTATAAATACAATGAGAAATAATGATTAACGCTATTACAGGGTATATTATTGTATTCGTTGGAATATAGAAGCACCATTGATTTGCGATATAATTATTACGAAAATAACTTTGTACAGTCTTCGTAAAAATTACAACGCTAAATAGAAAATTAAGGAAGATATTAAATGACTATAAATGCTTTAATACATTGTATAGGAGTTGTTTCTTTCTATTATTGTTTTAGATAAAGGAATTTTATTCCTTTAGACATTTTTCTTCCTCTTATTCAAAATTATTTTTCCAAGTGAAGTGAAATTTATGAAAATTAATTAATTTATAAAATGAATTATGTTTCATAAATATATTTTTATCTGCTGAATAAGAAAAATTGTATTAAAACTTTTACAGTCACGTAAACACGCGACCGCGCACAGAGTCAATATTTCCGGACACTTTGACTAAATATTTATCTACATTTTGTTTATTTCGGAGTTCAATTAAATAAATACATTTCGCTGAATTACGAATTATTTTAAGGACAATGTCCGAGGGAAGTTTTTTTTTTAAATGCTTAGCATTCAAGATAAGATCAAGAGACACTTTCCTTGAGATTTTCACCTTCAACAAGAAAACTCTAGTCAAAAAGTACTTTGTCTCTTGCCGATACAGGGTATATCGACAACCCTTAGAGTTATCTCTATGTTTGTTTGACACTATGTTAAAACATTCTCAGTTTTCATGATTTTCTATCTTGCATACGTATACAGTTTTAAAAAATTTAATTTATATTCTGATTCTCTAGGCAATTATTTTTAGTCTGTATAGTGGATACGTTTATTGTTACACTGCTAATACTGTTTTGTCTAAAATGACACTATTTATTAGATCTAGTAGATTGTTGTAAAATAGATCTAGTAGATTGTTGTAAAATAAAAATAAAAATGAGGAAATTTGTATGATTTTATGATTACGTGATTAGTTTGAAAGAAAATTAAAAGCATCTTCCTTCTAATAATTTCTAAATTGATTAAAAAAAAAAAAAAAAAAATTGTATAAAAACATCTGTAAAAAATCATGTTAGAAATTGTCGAAGTTCATTATTTTACACATGATTATGTACAAAAACGAATCATTATCATGTATACGTATGAATATAAGTGTCGAGCATTACAGCAGCATTAAATTACACTGTAAACCGTAAAAATTTCAGAAATAACAACTTTTGTAATAAGCACTTCGGTATAGTAATAGATCATTGGTATCATCTTAGATTCTCTTCATTCACTTGTAATACTATTACAAATTGAGACTGATACATATCCATACTTTTGTTTATCCTAGAAATCGAAAACGTAAATGAGGAAGAATCATTCTATACGATAAATAATTAAAGTATAAACATTATATATCTCAAGAATAAAATTTCTCGATATATTACTTAATCAATATTTCTGATGATTCAAAGCTGTTTTTTAAAAATGTATTTCGTCATTGATCGACTATGTTTGAACTGTGTTCGATAATAGAACGAAACATGGCAGTGATAATTTACATTAGAATATCTCGGAATTTAAATTTAAATTTAAATTTACGCAGGAAAACTTACTACTCGGTAAATTCAAATGAATAAAAATGTACAATTTGTTAGTACATTAAAACAAATTGTAGAATGAATTACTAAGTTCGGACCCCATTCGAACTATTAACACAAAATCTATACCAATATATATTGAAATGCATAAACAAGACGCGATAGAATATGATTATAAATTTTCAATATTTGATCCTCATATAAAATCAATTGACAGACTTCTGACAACTGACAACAGACAAGAATCTTTGAAGTAACAACGACAGATCATTCAGTCTTCAATCCTATCGCTCGAGGACTAACGCGCAATCATCAAAACATTTCGTTACATTTGCACAAAAAGGAATCAGACAAGTGCCTCTGTGTGATAATGATGGTAATGATGATGAATGTGCTCGTGGACGTGCTTCCTACCGGAGCTCGGATTCTGTGAAAATTCCCGCTCCAACCAACGCACGACTTGGACCATAGCTCTGGCTTGATCCTGTTCCCTCGTTGCGTGTTTCAGTTGATGCTTCTTGGCCGACTTGCCACATTGTTGCGGCGTTTGACCAAATTGTGTCCCATTACGCTGAACGTTATGATTGTTGCTCGGAGTTTGATTGACAGGGTGCTGATTGTTCGATATTAAATTGCCGCCATTACGATTTGTATTAGGTGGAGTAGTTTGTTGGTCTGTGTAGACGTTTGGGTTGATCACGGTCCTCGGTAAGACTTGTGGTTGAACGTATGCTCGTGGCGGTTGCATCGTAACGTTATTCCTCTGAAGACCGTACTGCGCTCGCATTTTCCTCAGACTCCCCCTATGTTTCGCAGGTATCTTGGAGAATGTGAAACCCTGAGGCTTTTCCCGAGTAGGCTTATGATAGGCTGTCGTCGTTGGCCGGGATTCCGGTGGTGAACGACAGTCTTGAGCGTAGTGAGGCGAAGGTTCGACATGTGGAGTATGAGATGGAATACGCAGCTGCTCGTTCTGATGTCGTTTCCTAATTTGACATGTCACATCATATTTTTATTATTACTTAAATGAACGGTGAATTCACGTTTTTATGCCAAGCAATGAATCGTTTAATTATCATTTATCATTCATCACTCTAGGAAATGTGAATGAAAAAAACTGTTGCAATGAAATAACTTTGTCTGGAATCTCTGCTTGAAATATGTATTTAAGTACGCTATCATACCGCTGCTTCAAAAGGGTGCGTCACGCGATTTTCCATGCGGTTGAACATGAAAGACATACCTCGACGTATGAAAACTGAGATTATTCTTTTCCATGTTCGCCTGAATAATTTCCAAGAGCTGTTGCCTTTGCAGAGCACCACTACGTTTTCGCTGATTAGGCGTAAGAAGAGGCGTCAAGGGGGAAACTGTGGGAGAAATATCACTGTCATCGCTAATATCGCCCTCGGAGCTATTGGAATAGGGTGATGGTAAATGAGGCACGGGTCCAACCCTTCTGCGTAATTCCTCCTGCTTTATTCGATTCGTTCGCGCATTTTCACCGTCATCCTCGCTGTGAGTATCTACCTCCTTCTCTTCATTCTAGAATATCAAATAAAAACAGAATATGTTCGTTTACAAAATATATATATGATATTATTTCGATGTGACACTATACTAGAAAAATATACATAATTCCGATTTTAACCGATTTTAACACGTAGCTATTTTCATTCAGTTCTGAGAGTTCGAACGCCGCGACACAATAAGAAGCTAATGCGCAAGAATCCCTGTTACATCTGTCCAACATCAATAACAAAAAAAAAAA